TCAGCAAAGGAAGAGGCAAAGCTGTTTCTCTGGTGGCATAAAGCCATGCAGTTGTCCTTGGTGCAGCTGGAACAAGATGACCCTATTCTGGTTGAATCTGTCATCCGGACACTGCTGTCCATCCAGGGCCGGCAGAACCAGCTGGCTGAAGAGAGACTCACTTCTGGAATACTTGGTGCTATTGGGCTGGGCAGGAGGTCTCCTTTGTCACCCAGGTGAGGGCTGAAGCTCCAGTGATCTTATTGTTTGAGTCATGGTGTTGAAGAAACTTCAGTGTGGCTCTAGAGTGCCCAGTCTGTGTCTAGTGCAGTGCTAAAAGTTGATTAGAATCCGGGCTGCCCCCACATCTGTGAAGTTGTTTGAGCCTGCCACAGAAGTACAGTGGGTGTGTTAATCTGATTAAGAAGTGAGTATGAACTTCGGTAAAGGTTGTGGTGAAGAAGGAAGAAAAATGCAGTTCTGATTCTTACTTAATGTCCACCTCCAGCAAAATTTCTAGGCAGATCTTTCTTAGAGGGAGATACTTCCACCCRKTCTGTAGAAACTGTTTCAGTTGACKTCACAAGATTTTWTATAAARACAGACACATTGCATTTTCTGTCCCAACCTTGAGGTAGTGGAAATGTTACGAGAAGCTGCAAGGAGCATGTGCTTGCTTGTGATCACTCTTCCAGCTAAAGAGAGACACCAAGTTTGATTGTTAGGTGTTAAAGTCAAGTTCATTGTGGAAAGAATTCTGAGAGAAAACCCCCACAAATGTTTGTGGAACATCAATTCARCTCTTTGTTGAACATAACTTTGTGTTTATAAAGACCTTCAGGGTTGCAATSCTGTTGAAATTGGTCCAAATTCTTGGTCTCATTCAACTCATCYCTTGATTTGGTGTAAGAATGCTTCACATTCTGTCACTTGAGGAGTATTTCAGATGTGAGATAAGGAGTATTTCGGCTAGGCTTGAAAYAGATGCAACATTTCGTATATATGGTGTATTATCCTCCAGTGTGTATGGTATCCTATTAGATGTAATCCCAGAGAAGCTGGGATCCCCTTCTACCCCTGGAAGTGTCCAAGGCCAGGTTGGATGCTGTAACCCTGGAGCAACCTGGCATAGTGGAAGGTGTCCCTGCCCATGGCRGGGGGGTGGAACGAGATGAGCTTTAAKGTCTCTTCMAACCCAAACCATTCCAGGATTCTGTGATACTGAAGTGGCTTCTAATGCACTGGAATAGGTCCTCTAAAGCCTTTACTTTGTTCTGTTTCCAAGAGATACCTCATGGGAGGTAACATAAGAGTTGATCTGCTGCCTGAGACTCGCAGATGTGGTGTCACCTTGTCCCTCTGTCCCCCTGCGCAGGTTTCGGGTGGTTGCCCGCAGTTTGTCCGCCTTCCTCCTGGTGCAGATCCCTGCAGAGAGCCAGGTGCGCCTCAAGGCCGGGTCGGAGCCCAGGCTGTCTCAGAAGGCTCAGCAGGTGAGGTGTGCCCGTCTCTGGCTGCTTGACATGCCCTCTCTGCGTGCTAGTTTAGCTTTTGGGGTGAACTATATAATGTTCACTGCAAGCATTTCTTCAAGGTAAATCCTACTCTCATCTTGTTGCTGAACTTTGGCAGCAGGACTGTGTGTGTTTGAGCTCTGTCTTAAACTGATCCTGGGTAAAACTTCATACAGTGTTCTGCTTTAATGAAARCACCATTTTCTAATCTTACATGCTTAAAAGGGGCAGATAAACTTATGTCTGTAAACCCTGACATAAAGTTTAGAACATAGCAGGTAGAAGGAATTTAAAATAATCGGGAAAAAACAGTGCTGCTGTTGTTTGCACTGCTTGTCAGTGATAAAGCAGGGCTGCATTCACACTGACATTTGTTTATGTGAGGTCAGGGCTTAAAAGCCCTGTGACAAATAAACAATTCTYCTTTAGCATGTGCACCGACCGTGGTGTTCTTTCAGTAAGTGCATGAGGAGAGGAAGGAGGAGTTGGTTAGGAACCAAAGCAAAGTAGCTCGGTACAGCTTGTTTCTCTAAGAAAAGAACAAAACTTGTTCAGAAATATATTTTGCATTTGCCCTTGCTAGTCCTGCCAACATAGACTTCTCTACATATAATTTTTAACTTGACAGTTAATATCTAACTTTAATACTATTAATGGGAGCAAAACAAAACTTTTATGAAAGTCAGTATATTCCTGAGAACAACCTAAAGTGAAGATTTAAGTGTGTTGCAGCTTGTAGTTTGACTTAATTTCTGTGAAACCATGTCTTGAGTTCATGAAGTAAATATTTGGCAATATTTGGCTTACAATATCCTAGGAAGCCTTAATAGGACAGTTTTTTATGTTGATCTTGGAGAGAGGACAGCTTGAAAAATAAATGTAGACTTGAAACACAGTTACGGATTGTATTTTACAGCTATTTTATTCTGAGTGCTCTGGGTTCTGTGGTAGGTAAGGATCCTTTAGGGTAATTGTGCATATGGTGGTGTGTTGTGKACCAAGATACACCTAACAGAGTTTTCCCTTGTCCCTGTAGGCACTGAATGCTCTCGAAGCCATGGCAGCCAACAAACAATACGTGGATTACCAAGAGCAGCTCTCCCAGGCCTCTGTGTTCATCAAGCACCCTGAGCATTGCCTTCAGGATGGCAATAACCTCCTGTCCCTGCTGGTGAACACGCTGTACCCAGAAGTGCATTATTTGGACAGCATTCGGTAGCGGTGCCGGGCCGTGGCTCTGGTTTACAAACAGTGTCCTTATTGCACAAATGATTTTTACCTTCAGAGCTCCACTTTAATTAAGTCAGACCTGTGAATAGGAACTGCACACTGACAAGTTTTCTCCACTTTTGAGGTTTCCTTGCTTTCCTTTTGATTTTTGGGCCTGTGTAATTGCTTAATGGTTTGGGGTTTTGGGGTTCTTTTGTTTGTTTTTGTTTTTTTTTTTGACTGAAAGCACTTGAATATCTTCTGTGTGTGGTACACTTCGKAGAGAAGGGTGCCTGGGGATAGGTGTACAAATCACTAGTCAGCACAGCTCATCCTATAGTGTCTGAAGTTTTTGCTTGGTGCCTTTTTTAATTTTCCAGTGTGTCATCACTCAGGCCAGTTCAAAGTGAGTGGAGGATTGTGTGTAAAAGAGGTTTGACTTTCTTAACCAGGATACCTCTGAGTCTTACCTGAGTGTGTGTGTCTAGCGATTTTTGTGAAATCCCTGTATTTGAAAAGATGGTATTTTAAATCTTGACTTTTTTGCTATCTCACAGAAATCTGTCGTTTAGAGGCATGCCTACAATCTTTAGCCATTTCTGTAAATACCAACAAACATAGGAACTAAAGAAAWTTGTTTTTTCCTGTTTTATAAATATTAGTGTGTCTGCATCTATATTGCTTGATTAAACGCAAGTAACTTCTAGCCAAGTTCAAGGGGATTTAAATCCAGAGACATATTTTTCTGGATCTCCAGTGTCTGAGAGGGGAACAGTCAGTTATAATCATGTTAATTAGGATTCCTTAATTCTTAAAGTCTGGTTGTTTAGGAAATGTGTAACAAGTGGGCACCACCACTTAACTTTATTCTCTTCTGCCTAACTGGGCAYGACATGACAGGATTTTAGATGACACTGTGAAGAAGTATTTTTGTTGTATTAAATTTGGTGATCACTTGTTAAAATTCTGTTGCCAAAGCATGAACCATGAGCCTGTAAATCTGTTGTTTCAGCTGAATGATCGCTGGTTTTGTTGCCTTGTCTGATCATAAGATGCACTTTTGTTTAGTGAAAGCAGAAGGCGAATTTTTCCCGGTGCTTGTTTGATGTCCCTTTTATCACTGATCTGTTTGAGCTGGTCCAAGGTCCTGCAGTCACAGTCCCTACAGCTCTGTGCAGGAGCTGATTGCTTTTTCTCTTCCTCCATTAATTGTGCCTTTGTGTTCATGACATGGTTGCACGTTGAAACATGAGTTCTGGTCAATAGGGGATAGAAATGTGCTACCTACTGTCTGGTCAATGATGCTTTGAACTGTTGCTCTTAAACCATGGTTCTGGTGCTAGAGGACAGATCACCTTTTCCTTCTTGGCAGATTCTGCTAATTATGCCAGCTGGGTCATTAGATCACCGTCATTTTAATGTGGTCTTAGAGTTCTTTGCTCTATCTGCGAGCCTATAAATAAATATATATATGTACATCCCTCTGTATAGAAACCAGATACCAATGCAGCATGGTTTTTAACAGACTCTTTTGRAAAATTCATGTCTGGAGGAATACAYTCTGCTGCTTTTCCCCCTAAAGACTCAAAAGCACTTGGATTTATTAGGTTCAATGTTATTGATCAGTTGCATATAAATGTGAAGAAGTCAGAGATATGTGTTTGACATGCACTTTCAAAATGAGGAATTGTTTCAGCTGTTGAGTTTTTACAAATGTTGTATTTATAACATGCTATGTCTGCAAAGACCATGCAAAATAAAAATGGAAAATCAAGCAATTTATGACAGACACTGTGGTAATTTYGGTTTGGTAGAACAATCCACATCAGATGACACATGACTGCTGTATGTGTCACCCACAGACCAGTCTTCTGGCTTCACAATCAGTGTGGCAGTGGCTGAAGTCGGAACCTGTGTTGTAGTTCCCTGTGCAAATTTGAACTCCAGAGCCTGGAGCCTGATTTTCCAAGTGGTGCCCAACAGATTGGCTTTTTATTCTTTCCAGTTTTCCTGGAAAGGATTTGGCATTCCCTGCATCTCCCAGATGARTTCAATACCAGAAGTCTCCTGGTGTGTGCAGTGCTGTGTTTTGTCCSTCCAGTTTATACTGCTTTGAGTGGGTGTTTGGGTCTCCCATGAAGACCTGGGGGAACAAGCTGGTTTTGGGACATGAGGTCTGGTGCTTCTATTTGGACCCAAACTGCTTGACTTGAAGAAATAATTTGTGAAGGAAAAATTTAGAAAGCCAAGCTTCAATTCCATGCATAGGCAGAAGTGGAATAGAATTTACATAGAATTACTCTATGTAAATAGTAAGGCCTCAGAAATCCAATTCAGTTTGTCCAAATAATATCTCTGAGATCTCTTCCCTCTGTGACACCTATGCAGTTGAGCTTACGTGTCTGTGACTATGCTATCTGCTGTAACTTCCCTTTTCTCTTTGCATCTTTTCTTATTTTTATTAAATCTGGCTTTGTCACTGCTGGGATTTTAAGGTGGGATTTAAAAGATCAGGTTCAAGTATATCCTTGCATAWTTTTTTATTCCTTATCATCCTGGCAAAATAATTTAAAATTCTGCTTTCCTTTCCCAGTGCAGATACTGTGAGGAGGTGAACTTTAAAATAATGATTCCCAGCCTGGGGTTGAGCTTGCAAGCCTGATGGTATTTTAATAGCAGTTTGGTGGTTGTTACCAGGAGCAGGATTGTTTGGAGAACAGTTTTGGAGCTGCTGCACTGGGATGGTTGCACAGAGCACCAAATCCAGCAGTATAAATGTAAAGTAGGTTAAAACCACTTTTAATTATTTCTCCTCCTTCTCAACTAAGTCAACCTGTTTCTCTCTCCAGTTCTATCCTGGACCTCTGCCTGCCTCTGCAGGAGTCCAGGCTGACCCACATTGTCCTGTACCGTAAGCTGGATCTGTTCACCTGGTCTGGGAGGGTATTTAGAATTGGGTWAGAGATTTGTCTGTGCTTGGCCATTGTGACTTTGTAGACACTTTGTAGTAGTGTCTTCATCTCAGAAGAGTTTAGGAGATGAGTAGTTGGGTCTTAAAAAAACTGTGTAACACCGAGATGGAAATGGTGTAGAAATAATTTCTTTAGCTTTAAAAAAATCCTTAACRATTTGGTGTATTGGAATATTTTATCACAAATAGCACGTTTATCACAAAGCTCTGAGTTTCTGGGCACTAGGAGCTGCAGAAGAGTTACAACACAGACTAGTTTAGACTTCTCCTGTCCTGCTTTCAGCTCTACCAGTTTTTGGAAAACATCTTCCTTTTTTGCTTGGACTTGCCTTTAAAGTTAAGGTTTCCTTTAAACTCTTAAATAAGCTCTTCTAGAAGTTTAGGAATAATAATAATAATAACAATAATAATAATAATAATAATAATAGTAATAATAATTAAAAGAACAAAACCAAAACTAAATCCCCTCAGAAGTTCCAGTAGTGTTTTGCCACAACCAGTATTTGAAGCATGGCAGTTGCTCACTTGCAACTTGGACAAGTGGAGTGGTGAAAACGGCTTGTCAGGGTGATATTTGAAAAACACCAAAGCAAAAAGATGTGAGACAGTTTTGCACTCTTACCTGCTTGCTAAACATCTGATAYGGGCTAAAGGCATAACAGATAGGTTAAAACTGTCATCCTGTGCAGATTGGGTTCTGCTCTTCCAGTGCCATCCCYGTTTTCTTTCTTCTCTTTTCCCCTTTAAGGCTGCTCTCACTTATGAYGGATAGCAGGGCTGGAACTCATAGCATTGTGGAAGGGACCTTAGAGATTGTCCAGTTCCAACTGCCCAAGGCTGGTCTGACCCTCTGTGCCTCATCCCATACCAGTGCTGTGTCCCCTGGGGAAGGACACCAATGTGGGCAGTGTGGGGATGGTCCTGTCGGGCCCCTCAGCTGCGCCTCGGCGCTGCCCCTCCCGTGGGCAGGGTCTGGCTGCTGCCGTGTCTGCGGTCAAAGTTCTCGTAGGTGCACTCTGGCAGCTGTGGCCTGGCAGGAGGAGATGTGGGAGAGGTGAGGATGTGATTCTGACTGCTCTGGTCTGTGCAAGTGGCTCTGGTGAATGCCAGAGCAATGTRACACTCTGAGATCRATCCYCTTCTRCTTCATGGTAGTTTTTAAGRGTCTGAGTTGCAACTACTGTTTTACACCTTAAAGCTTTTACAYCTTAGAGCATGCAGAGCAATMTCCTGTACCCTTRGCATCARCWGTGCTGCTGTCCTGCTCAGAGCCTYGGGTGGTTGGGACAAACCTCTCCTGAGAAAATTTTCTTGTGTTAATGTTGGTTTTAAGCCTTCTTGTCTTGGTAGGTATTTGTGCAAATATAACCATGGGTGCAGTGTGGTTTAGACCTTGATAAATCAGCAAAACTATGCTTTTTATGCTTTTTTTTCTGCAAATAATTCTTACAAATTTGACTGTAGGATTCAATTCCTTGTTTCTTTGGCTGCACCCTGTACACTTGACTATCCTGGTGGAATGGCCGTTGCCCTTGGGTAAGGTGAGAGGAGATGTATAGGGGTGACTCAGGAAGGAGGCATCATAAAGAAATGAATCAGATTGAAAGAGGGCAGCCCCATGCAGATGTAATTAACCTTGATCTCAGATACATCTTCTTTACCATTAGACCAAGGGTTGTTTTTGGTGGKTTTTTTTTGTTGTTGTTTGGTTTGGTTCTATTTATTTATKTACTATTTAATTTTTTAAAAAMMAATTTWAWWTTTTTTCCTGYAGCAGTAGTTTGGCCACYCCAACTGTGAGAAGTGTCCAGGATCAGTGTTGTGCTGGCTAATGGGAAATGCCAGGGGTTTTTGGGAGCATGGTGTGGATGCCACCCCAAGCATGGGGCCCTGTCACAGCTGAGCTGGGCTGTTTGCTGTCTCCAGACCTTCCCTCCATGCTTGGCTGAGCTCATCAGCTTTGCTTTGGCAACTTTTTCTGCCCCATTGCAAACTGAAGTGCAGGGGAGGGKAAGGTTTCTGTCAAAGATGTCACATGATGTCAGCACAGATCTGTCCCCAGATCTCTCCCTTGGGTGGCTGCTGTGTTGTTAATGTGGCATCACAGAGCCATGGAATGGTTTGGGTTGGGAGGGACCKTAGAGCTCATCCAGTGCCACCCCTGCCMTGGGCAGGGACACCTCCCACTGTCCCAGGYYRCTCCCAGCCCCAATGTCCAGCCTGGCCTTGGACACTGCCAGGGATCCAGGGGCAGCCACAGCTGCTCTGGGCACCCTGTGCCAGGGCCTCCCCACCCTCCCAGCCAGCAATTCCTTCCCAATATCCCATCC